TGACCACCTTAAATAAAACTGTTTAATTTTTGAGCCAAGCGAAGAAGACCTAGAGTTATTCGCTTGTGCCTTTTCAGCCCAAGAATCCAGGTGTGGGGCGCACCTTTTTTGACACTTCCATCATCACCTCTACCGCTGTCAGCCTACCTCAAGACTTGGTAGCAGGCACCTTCGCGTAAGCCGCTCCCTCACCAGGACAGCGCTGCAGCAACGTTTGATATTGGAACCTTTGTGCAGCCCCACCAACATTCTGTTCAAAAATATGGGCAATATTTGCGAAAATACCATGAGTTATCGCTTATATAAAACATCTTATGTCCGCAATGACATTAAATTATCACTATAGCAAAAATACCACGAGTTATTGCTCCTCATATGCAAAAATACTATGAGTTATCGCATCCAACATCCGAAATGACATGAAACTATTACTTTTATATATCATTTGTATATAGGATTGGTCACCTATAGATATATAACAAATATTTCGGATATCTAAAGACATACTACCATTGAATCAATCATCCTGATTGTCCATAAGATCTCCAAGAGCACGGCGGTCTTTTGACTGTAAACTGCTGGCGGAAATAGATCTTTACTTAGTTGTAGTAGTCCACAACAGATAATCCAATTTTTAGGGAGTCATTTTGGCACATACAATGGGATATTGGGAACCCTTTTACCCAGAAGCGGTCTCAGAATTACTACATATTGTGCAAAAATCAGTAATTTACTCGCTATGGGATGCCTCCACTACCTATTCCCTAACAAGTGCATAGGCTTTTTTCCCACCCACCCTCCCTTATCTTTTTGTGCCCCACAGTCTTGTTCAATATAAATATCGCTAGTGCCGTGTCGGTCCCGGGAGGGACCTGGCAAGGGGGAGGTAATATAGGGGATAACCGAAGGTTAATCACCTTTGATGTGCGCGTGTGCAATGAATATGTAACTACGCCTGGAATGCCGAAGAGCGGACAAGCCAAAGAGCTGACAGGCACATCAACAAGCAATTGCACAGCATAACCCAATGCAGTATCCAAAGGAAACACAAGCAAAGGTGTTATGGATAATCCGCCAGATGAGACATCAAGGATTATCATTTCCCCCCAATTCGCAAAGCGACATTTTTCAAACTTTTTGCCGTCCTGGCAAATCTTTCACCTATATAGCATGCCAATCTAAAGGGCAATCGAGAGACCATTGCCAACAAGTATGAACAGCGTTAGGGAACGCATCTACTTGCATACAACAATGCAAACATGGCAGCTATCTTATGCAAAATCCTAGCAGACATAGGCAATCTCCTGGGTACAAGACACCACATTTGGAACAGCCCTCTGACCAAGAGCATCCTATCATTTGGCAGCTTTGAGCACCACCAGAGACCTGAGCATGTCATAAAACTGCATCACTAGGCAGCTGCGAGTGCCACTACAGGACATCATTCAAGATTACGATCGATCAAGAAAAGTCAATCACAAAGATCGGATCTCAATTATGATCGATCGAGGAAGGCGTCACACTTTCATTTACTTGGGCACACAAATTGGCACACCACGTGATTTATCACACGCCACACATGCCAATATGATTATGTAATAAAAGACATCTACTGGTCAAGATTCGAACTTGGTACCACACCGCCCCCATGGCATAGTGGAAGCAGCATGGGGGCCCCAAAGGGCGACCGAACCAGCGACCAAGTTCGACACCTGGGGAAGACCGGGATATTCCAGTACCGAAGAGTACTGAGGGGCCAGGCCGCGGCAGGGCCTTAAATGTCACTTTTTTGCATAAATCAACTTATTGTCCAAAACGACCTAGTGCAAGTCATTAAACTGCAAGCACAACGACCTTAGCACATCACTAAACTGTTCAATGTTTGAGCCAAGTGAAAAATACCTAGAGTTATTCGCTTGTGCTTTGGCAGCTTTGAGCGCCGCGTATGACCAAGTGCATGTCTTTAAACTGCAAGCCCTTTTGCACACCATCTCGGGCAACAGCAGCCAATAGCAATGTCTGTGACATCAGATAACTAGGACCAAGAACTGTTAGCTCCACAAATGCACCATTTACCTGAGCAAGTCATTAAACTGCATCACCCCTTTTTTGCTGCTAGCAAAAGTCTTAGATGCCATTCACACAACACACCCTGCCATTCCACCCTGGAAGTCAGAACCTGAAGCGAGGGTACTATTTACCATAGCATTTATTCAGTTCATCCGGAGTCTGAACCTTGAAGCGGGGGTAGTGTCACAGTATAAAAGTGGCACCCTTCTTTTCGCACAATTAAAGTCCTCATTTGGAGTGGCTATTTGGACGCCAACCTCATATTGGTCTCACAAAGTGGATACTTAGACAAACAGCACAATACCACCACA